GCAGTGGCGTGCAGTCCATATAGGCGAAAAGGCATTGCCTACCTATAAATATCGTGAATATATAACATACATATAATGTACAAACGCGTTTATTAAAATTCAATAATATAATAAAAGTTTGTAAAAAAACGGCTAACATAAATACGCGCCTTTGTAAAGTAATGAATGCGCCCCGCACGCACCACGCATGCGCCACTATTCCTTAAATCTTGGTTGGCAGTAGTGACGTCACAAAAGAAATGTACCAAAAGTATGCACCGCGCATGCGTGAAGTTCACGACCATAGTCACGGTACAGAATAACCATTCATAATTATATTACGCGATTCCTGTTGATTGACAAAATGTTTGCAACTAAAAAATTAGAGGACCGTTCGTTCATCACTTGGAAAACGATCGTATTTTATTAAGAATTCTAAATACAATAAAACAACAACAAGTTATTGTATTTTTAAAAACAATTAAATCATAAAAGGATTTAAATTGATAAAATTTGTATGTATATCGTAAAGTACTGATGAATGGAGTACACCAGCGCCATCTATTGAATTTTTTGTTGAAACTTCTGAACTCGTTCGATATAATGCGAATGTATTTTTATAAATGCGTATTTAACAAATATTTTTCAAGTGTTTTAATTAAAGTTTAACATTTTTACGCGTTGTCGGTTTATAGAAATTTTAAACGAGGAGTTGACTTTATTATTATAAAAGTTAAAAGGAAGTTATTGATACGTCAAGATGGCGCCATTTACAACGTTTCAAATTATATGAATGAATGTTTTTTAGTATGAAATATTGGTTTAAGACGATGATGCAATTTCATTTGACTTACTAAATTAACGTTTGTTTTTTTGAAATTAAACGCTGCGTTACCTTAATTTTTAAGCTACATTTTTTTTATAATAAACACTCAATTGACTATTGGTAATGACTTCAATTCATTTCCAATGTTTTCGGCCATATTGTTTTCATGTGATGTGCGATCGCTTTGTTTATGTTTTCGTTTAAATTATTAGGAATTAGTTTTAAACATAAAGTTGCATAAATGTGTAGTAGTAGTTAAATATATGTGTAGGTTTTTCAAATAGTGTATTTGTTTCTCAGTTTCTAGTACAAGTACCTATATTATTCGATTGTGAAGTGTGTGTGAATAATAGGTAATTTTATGTGTTTGTTGAAAGTAAAAACAGTAAGATTTCGCAATGTCCTTTATCGGACTAGATTCAGGTAATGACCATAGGCAGAGGTGTACTCGAGTTACGAGAATTGACCCAAGTAAAAGGTAGGTAATGTAAATATGTACTATAATGGATCTTTTATTTGATTTTCTTGTTTATTGTTTGATAATTCTTAAAAATATCAACTTAGACTTCGGGTTGTACTGATTCACATATTAATTTATTATTAATATTTATGTAATGTAGTAATAACAAATGTACCGCATAGACTCGGCCGGCTCGGCCACAGCCGGCCGCGCTTGTTATTGTTTTGTTTGTTGACATAATGTAGGTACCTACGCTCTTAAATTCGTAATATATTATGATTTTGACCAGATTGATTAACCTTAACAATTCCATAATGAAATTTGGTTCATCAAATTTATGCTTCATTATTAAAATAAATAATAGATCTTTCATTATTTGTAAGTTTTGTTGGCTTATTCAATAGCTGATGAAGTACTTCACAAAAAATACGCGAGATGTCAGTGTATGTAATTTGGCGAAACAATACACCACAATATTCTTGAACGCACTTTTCAAAATATATTATGTACATGTACCTATCTTGTGTGAGCATGATTGTATGACCGGCGGGGGGGAGGGGTTTAATCATACGATATTTAGTTGCCTACCCTGTCTCGAAAACCTGTGCACGCCACTGCCTGATGGTAAGCAATCGAGCCACCCGCCGACACCCGATAAACAAGAGGCGTTATAAATACGTTGCCAGCCTTTAGGCCCACTCTACTATTACCAGTTTTTAATAAAAAAAAATACCTATTTTACGTTACCGGCCTTCTGGGGATTAGTAATTTGAGGATTGTTGGAAATTCAGGGATCGGGGAAGGCGGGGGGGAGGGTCATTGGGCCTCCGGTAACCTCACTCACTCTACGAAACACAACGCAAGCGTTGTTTCACGTCGGTCTTCTGTGAGGCCGTGGTATCACTCCGGAGACTAACGAAAGGAAATTCATTTTTATTTATATAGATAATTAATGTACATTTTTGATTACAGGAACCTAACCAAAACGCAGATTGATTCTATAAATATAATTACACAGGCGGATGCTAAGCCAAAGGTGGAGAAAACGGAACCCAAACTAGGATACGTTACTGAATACATGACTGAATCTGATATGTTGAAATGCAGGTAATATTTATTCATTTATTTATAATTAGCTTTTACCCGCGGCTGCGCTCGCGTCATAAAAGGATAAAAAGTACTCTATGTAACATATACCAATACACACAGCGCCATCTATACCAATTCTTTTGTTTTCCCTCGGGAATTCTAAATTTTTCCGGGATAAAAAGTACCCTATTATTTAATCCGGACTTCTAACTTTACGTCTGCAAAAATTCAAAGCAATCGGTTTAAACTGTCAAACACCAAGCGGTCACCGGTGACCGCAACCTTTTGTTCTATAATTGTGTCTATAATGACGGTACTCGACGAGTTAATGGTTACGGCGTGAAAGCGGAACAAACAAACTCACTTTTCAATTGAGATATGACATAAACTCCAAACAAAATGTGGCAAAATTCTATCTAAGTAAATAAATCTACAGATTGATAGATTATAGAAAATGACCGTTAGTAGTAGCAGCTTCTGTCCGTGTTTTCTAGTTAAAAGTGGGTGTTATATTGTACAGTAGCATTAAGAGCCGTAACGTGTACCTCTACCTACACTTCCAGGGATAAAAGACGTGCTTTATATATATATTAGCAAACCCAACAGACGTTGTCCTGCATATCCACTTGAATGTATAAACAAAAATTCATTCAAATTAGTTCAGCTGTTTAGAATAAATAACCTATCGTTCCGTTCCGCGCGCGCCTCAAAGAGCCATCAGACCACCACAGACGGGGCCCAATAGGGCCGATGCCGATTCGGAGTCGCGGAGAACCTAACGGGTAACCGGGGCTCCGGCTCGACGTGCAGGAGAAGGAAAACGGGGTGGTTTTTAGTCAGTAAGAGTCTGACACTCCCTCCCGCCTCACCCAGGCGGGAGCAGTCATTCGATGATTTTCCCCCCTTAAAAAAAAAACATCGACTGCAGCGCCATCTGCCGGGCTGATTTGTGAATCTAAACCATTCCCAGATCCCCTTGAACACACAAAAAATGATATCAAAATCGGTCCAGTCGTTTGAGAGAAGTTCAGTGACATACACACTCAAGGAAGAATTATATTATTATATACTAGCGACCCGCCCCGGCTTCGCACGGGTGCAATATGCATGTATTATACATACAAACCTTCCTTAAGAACACTCTATCTATAAAAAAAAACCGCATCAAAATCCGTTGCGTAATTTTAAAGATCTAAGCATACATACGGACATACAGCGAAAGCGACTTTGTTTTATACTATGTATTGATAAAGATATTTTTATATTACAGAGAAGAAGCTAAGAAAAAGGTTCAGTACGCAAGCTCTGTGTATAAATGCGAATTGTGTATCATTGGATTTTATACACAACAACAAGTTGAAGATCATTTCGTATCAGCGCATAGAGCGGTAAGTACATACATACATATTTTTATAGAGTAACTGGCTATGTTTTTATAATAACTATCGTGAGACATAATGTCGTGGTGGCCCGGAGGTTTAAGACGCCCACTTCTCATGCATGAGGGTGCGGGCTCGAAACCTACCAACGGCAAGTACCAATGTGGCTTTTTCCGAGTTATATGTACTTTCTAAGATTATCTAGACACCACTGACAAACGGTGAAGGAAAAACATCGTGAGGAAACCTGGACTTACATACTTATTTTTTTGGTTCGATTGGGTACTTTCTTTAATTAAAAATAAATTATTTAGACTGTTCAAAAAAATTTTAAAAAATATGACATCACGCCTTTTATCCCCGAAGGGGTAGGCAGAGGTGTACATTACGGTACTTAATGCCAATGTACAATGTAACACCCACTTTTCACTATTTATTTTATGAGTCCCATGTTATAGGGGGTCAGCCTATTGCCATATACAGGGCACAATTCCAGACTCCGTGCTACTACTGAGATTTTAAAAAACCCAGTAATACTTTGCCTGACCCGGGAATCGAACCCGCGACCCCTTGCCCGGCAGTCGCACTTGCAACCACTCGGCCAACGAGGCAGAAAAATAATCACACTTTAATTGATTTAATGACCAACTTAATTTTAGTATTTGTCCAGCAATTTTTTAAGAAATAAGTATGCTGTTTGACGCTAAAAAAACGCGTCGTCACAATACACAATCTCGTACAAAATTCATAGAAAACTGTCGTTTTTGACAGTTCGAAAAAAGTATTGAATTTGACTAGTTGGCGAGTAGCCAATTTACATAGTATTTTTTTTTATTGCATAAGCCGGTAAACGAGCAGACGGATCACCTGATGGTGAGCAATCGACGTCGCCCATGGACTCCTGGAACACCAAAAGCGTTACAAGTGCGTTACCGGCCTTTTGGGGATTAGGAGTTTGAGGATCGTTGGGGATTCAGGGACTGGGGAGATTGGGAAAGGGGAGGGTAATTAGGCCTCCGGTAACCTCACTCACACGACGAAACACAACGCAAGCGTTGCTTCACGTCGGTTTTCTGCTCGGCCGTGGTATCACTCCGGTCGAGCCGGCCCAGCAGTGCCGAAGCATGACTCTGCCACACTTAAATATGTCTGTAAAAGTTTCAATACTATTATTCTGTTTTGATTGCAGAAACCGCGTCAAGTGGCATGCAAAGTATGCTACGTGTACGTGGACGAGAACAAGATCGCGTCCCACACGGACGCGCACTACCTGAAGTACCGCTGCAAGCTGTGCAGCCACGAGGAGGCCAGCGCCAGGCTCGTGCAGCAACACGTCGACACGCACATGGACAAACACACGCCCAACTTGTCCACCATCAAAATTGGGGATCTAAAGAGTAAGGTACGTCATGTTTCTAGTAGTTTTACAATTTGGTAGTATTACTGCCCCTCAAATGACAAACAAACGTTTTGTGTCATCAAACGTAAGTATTAGTTCAAATTGGTAGACCACGTAGGTGCACATTACGGCACTTAATACCACTGTACAATGTAACAGCCACTTTTCACTATTTATGTTATGAGTCCCATGTACCTAATAGGGGTGAGCCTATTGCCATGTACCGAGCACAATTTCAGTATCCGTGCTACTATTGGGATTTTTTTAAAAAACCCGCAATACTTTGCCCGACCCGGGAATCGAACTCGAGACCGCTTGCCTGGCAGTCGCATTTATAAACTCAAGTATTCTAAATTGTAACATTTCAGGGTAGAAAGAAGAAGGACAAGGAGACAAAAGACCAGAAGGATCCACCGAAGCCGGGCGACTTGCGTAAACTATTGTCCAAGACGTCTATAGAGGGGTACCAGTGTTTAGAGTGCGATATGTTCTTCAAGTAAGTTGTTTGCTTCACTATATTGCCCTCGCGATATGATCTCCGGCCGCCATAAGCTACCCGACCAGAACCAGGGTGCTTACTCTTGAAACCAATCACAATGCCAATGCAAGCTCAATCCAATAAAATCTCAATAATTATTCAATGTCAAAACTAACACAAAAACCCCTATCGTAGCTGTTAAAATAGAGTACGGAATATAAAGCCAAACTCAATACCATTTAGTTCATTTAATACCCACGCAATACGGATGCAATGGGCGCTAGTGTTGCAACTCAAGAGTACGAAATTTTACAATACCAATGTCGATCGATCGGAATTGGATTCAAGAGTAAGCACACTGAACCGAGCGTAGGGCGCGTCATGGAGCCATCAGACTACCACGAATGGGGCCCAATAGAACTGATACCGATATGGATGGATTAACGGGTTACCGGGGCTCCGACTCGAAGTGCAGGAGTAGAAAGGGGGTGGTTTTTAGTCAGTAAGATTCTTCACGACAAGACACTTCCTCTCGCCTCGTCCGGGCGGGAGAAGTCGTTGCATGATTTTTCCCCCCTCAAAATAAAAGCGATTCACACAAGGAAATGAAGCTGTAGGGGCTCAAAGATAACCAAACTCAAAGATAATAAATAAGGGGTAACCGGGGCTCCGGCTCGACGCGCACGAGAAGGAACGGGGTGGTTTTTAGTCAGTAAGAGTCTGACACTCCCTCCCGCCTCACCCAGGCGGGAG